ACAGGGAAACGTCTCAAAATCCTGAGTTATCCAGACATGCCTCATCATCTTTCAACTTTTCTCAGCGCGAAATGTAATCTGAGATGTCTCCTTCCCAAGTGGAGTAGGTACCCGGGCAATTCAAAATATATCAGAGAAAACCACCAGTAGGCGGATCACAATACCTTCCATCGTTTGCTTGTTTTTATAGTATCAGCTGGACTCTGCCAATCGAAGTTTTGGCGCGTACACCAAGCTCAATTTGTAAAACTCCTTTCCAACATTCGGAATTTCACGCCCATCGAAGTTATATCCTTCTTTTGCATAATCTTGTGAACTTGTCCTGATCCCTCTCACGCCCATCCCATACATATGTCTCCTAGATTTGCTCGCCACGCTTTGCTTCCTCCGTCGGGGTTTAATGTCGGCGTGGGCGTGTATTTGGCGACCAGCTGAGGCCAGAGAAAGTCGATGAGAGGTGTGATCATTGGAATGAGGATGTAGTAAGTCGTACTTGAAGACTTAATGAGGCATCAGTAGGAGTGTGTCTGGGGATGAATGATCGTGGTCATAAACCGTATGAAGAAAATATTTGCTACAGATCTGGAAAGAGGTTCAAGGTGGAGAGGACCTACATGCAGCTTGCTTTACAGGGGAAACATGAGTCCGAGCGCTTTTGCTAATGATCTACACCTTCATCTTATTGCATGCTCCAGCTTCCAAGTTCAAATGATCGCCACTTGGAATAACTCAATTCCGCTTCAATGCTATTATTTCGCTCCCTCACAGATTGGATCTCACTGGGAGTGAAAGATTTTACTGATGCGGAGTCATGACGAATTGTTTCAAGGGTCGACGTCTCCGGCGTTGCGAAATATGAATCAACTTGACTCTGGGATAATATGTGACCCCAAGATTTGGAGCGGACGCCGCGTTAAAGTGTCCAGTCTTTGTCCTCCGGATATCTGACAAGATAAGTGTAATAGAGCACGCCAGCTCCGCCAGCCCGATTTATCGGTGGGCGCCGGCAAAGACAAATTCTATACCTTCCAGCGTTGTCGGTGTAATTGCTCAGTTAGCTCAGCGTTTCTGGGAAAGCCAAGAAGAGACCCATCCGGATCGAAGTCGGAAGCAACCTCAAGCATATCTTAAGCCGACAACTTCTCGTCAGTGTCGGACCTATCATTCTCACGCAAGTCTTCTACCTCAATCTCACTACACCACCTCGCCTCAAAAACCGATAATGGCGATACTCCAATTGCAATCGGGTATCTGTCTCATCCAAAATGGGCCATCTCCCGCTACAAAGTTATGATGCTATGTATACCCGCGAGGAGGAAATTAATTCATAATCTACAAAGTTCGCGTCTTGGTATATGGGGGACCGTTGCTCTGATAGGGCTTCACATCTTGAGAGAGGACAGGCAGCTGGGACGTGGGACGAACGAGTGAAAAGGTCACAAATGGGCATATTGGGACACACATTTTTCGAATATATACGACTTAAGGGTGTCTGTGGGCGCAGAGGCAACGATTGAAGGCGTTTTGGACCGCCTCCTGGTCGTCATCTCCATGAATGAAAGTCTGGGTAGCCAGGACACCTATCTTACTCGAGAAAGGGAGGACAGTGAGGCCATACCTTGCGCGGTGGCTATATACAAGATGACAAAGGCATGTTAGGATAACCAAAGGTTTTTCCTATTTTCCCTTTGGTGGATGTTCACGGCTGAGGGAAAGTTGAAAGTCTCTAGCACCAAGGTCTCGAGTGATATCAGCGAACGCACCCACTACATGAGTAGTCCAATTGTCACACTAACTTTTCGTCGTATATAGTCGTCGGAGAAGCTAGTCTTCTCCGTGTCATGCTCTTTGAGTGCAGGGCTTTTGCCCGTCACGAATAATTATTCATTCATTCCCACTACAAATTTACGACGCTATTTATACCCGCAAGAAGGAAACCAAGTCGAAAAATAAAAAGCCTGGGTCTCGGCTTATAAGGGACTGTTGCTCTACTGAGACAAACAACTTGAGGGCGAACATGTTTCTGAAGATTTTGCTGGAACTGACGTTTTCGAGAGATTTTCAACTTTGGCACGTTTGTGAGCGCCTAGACTGGGATTTCGGCTAATTATCCAGGAGAACTTCAATTGTTGATGAATCAACGGCTCTCCTTAGCGCCCTGGACGGCACAAAAGAGGTTGGGCTAAGCTACTATTCTGCAATCACACTCTGTTAAGACATTTCTGACATTTCAGCACGACCTTCGGGAAGGAGTTGGAAGGAGGCTAGAAAGGCAGAGGGCGAATTTTCCGAGGTACCCACAAGTCTGCAACGCCCAGCTAGCCGGCCTCTTTGGACGCTTTAGAAGGATCACTTTATCTTCGGGTTTAGCCCTAATGTCGGTATTAGGAAAGCTCCACACCCAGTGGCTTTTGCGATTTTTCACGGCTGCCATACACCTCCAAACGGTCATCGTTTCGTTGGCTGGAGAGGGGAGATAATGAATGGCAAAGGGCACCTCTAAGTGTATGATCGATTGAGGGCTTGTGAGGGGTGGTAATGTTTGAGGGGAGCTGTATGGGAGGGATAGGAGGGGATAAACTACTGGCATAGTATCCTTGGCCTGTAGGCAGAGGACCTGCATGTCCTACATAGTCATAGACTCAGACAGGACAATAAAATGAATTAATAATAACAGTCATCGGTAGGCTGCATGCTCTTCTTAGCGGTCGGTCTCATGTAGCCAGTCTTCAAAGACCATTACCCCCAAGCCAGACAGTCGCAACGAATGGTTATGATCGGAATCTGTTGGTCTCATAGCTTGCCGCCAGTGTGCTTGCAGCCGAATACGAACTGATCGGCACCCATTTGGACAGAGCTTATACCATGCTGCTATTAAACTGTCCCACCAAGTCTCGAGCTTAGAAAATTTGTAATGTTCCAGTGCGCGTAAGCCGGTGCGACGAAAATTGCTCCCATGAGTCATGATGATCCGTCCTCCTGCTTACCAACTCCAAGGCGCCGAAGCCAGTTTGCAGCATTAAATGCCCCAGGTTGGCGTGTGAATAGCGCGGGAAGCTGATGCGCACGGAGCACTTCTTCAGGCCGCTGAAGGCAGCCGTGAGAGATCGCCACCTCACGACTTAATAGGGCAGAAGCGCGCAAGCCATTGTTCATACGTCTAGAATGCTGAGCACTTCCGCTCCAAATTCTATGCTTTCGCGACCCCCGTATCACTATGGCTCTTGCTGAGATTCCATCCGCGAGTTGACTCGCTGCAGAAGCCGCTCCCAACCCCTGCGCAATTCCAATCATCCCGCGGGATCCATCCAAAACAATGAATCATGTTGCCGGCCCTAAAATCTCTTCATCCCGCCTATTTTTAGCAATGAGCAGCCTTGGCTCATTCCCCGCGGCACGGCTCCCGCGCCGTCGCAACCCTAACCTGCCAAGGACCCACCATCGCAATAGGTAAAATTTTCATTACAAAGCTCGGGAGTGTACATCAAAGCCGTTTGATGAGTGCTATGCTAAGAAATACCTCCCGTCTATGGCTATCGAATGTAATTTGTGCTCTATCAGGGCTGCGATACCAAAATACATCTCCAACTCTCCCCTATCAAAATCTGCCCGATGATACGTGTAAACTTTGTAAACATTTCTCAAAGTTTCTACGATACCATGTGATTAATAGGTTCATGTATCACATCATTAATTCTATCGGGTGGCATGACCTGCAGCAAACCATAATAACCATCTACTCTTGGATATAGTCAATTTTTACTCACTCGGGCCTTCCCTTATATTTTCCTGGTAATTTGGGATAGGCTCTCCAGTTTAATCGAAAAAAATGTAATTACCGCAAATTGATTGTGTCCTGAGGCCTCTATATTAGAGTCGAACCATTCTGTGTTGTTTTTATCATGTGATAATATTGACGTCAGCGTTTAGGCGAACAATTGAAATCGTATTTTGAGAAGAGACCCAGCATAGAGGGACAATAGATGCGTAATTTCGGAACAAAATTCTGCATTTTTTTAAATTATTTGCATACACAACCTAGACCACCAAATTTGCCTACCTTACTCGAGAAAGGGAGGACAGTGAGGCCATATCTCGCGCGGTGGCTATATACAAGATGACAAAGGCATGTTAGGATAACCAAAGGTTTTTCCTATTTTCCCTTTGGTGGATGTTCACGGCTGAGGGAAAGTTGAAAGTCTCCAGCACCAAGGTCTCGAGTGATATCAGCGAATGCACCCACTACATGAGTAGTCCAAATGTCAAACTGAGTTATCGTCATATATAGTCTTCGGGGAAGGACCAGCCTTCTCCGTGTCATTCTCTATGAATGCTAGGCTTGTGCCCGTCATGAATAATTCTTCATTCATTCTATACCGCCAAATAAGCATACAGGCCATGAAAGGCTAGTTTTTAAGGTGCTAGAATTTGTTGTTCACATGTGCAATCACTCTAGTTTTAGGTGGACGAAGTTCTAGATAAATTCTATATAAAGCTAACCCCTGATAATAAATTTTACGTTAAAAGTAATTGGTAGAAATAGACGCAACGAGAGGCTTAAAATAGGGGCAAATAGGCATGTATTAGCAATTGACAATTCTGTCTTTGCAATCGATTAATATTTATAGCATAAATTTTATCATAAGATCCAACCTCAGGTAAGTGTGTAAACCTGATTTTCCCATCTGTCAAATCTTGACGAATTAAAAATCTTTGATAAACTTCCCTGCGTACCATTAGTACGCTACTTATTCTCAATCTTTTATCATCTTTTTCCTCTGGAAGGCTTTCAATGATTTTTACATCATTTTGAATCTCTTAAGCCAGTTGGAGATGACATGGTCTGGCTACAGTAGTGTATTGTGTGAGTACATCTACTTTTTGTTCTAACAATTTTGTGTGGTGGAAAAAAGCACACTAGACTTTGCAGAAGATAAAAGAGATTCCAAGATCATTATTGATAACGCATGTGCGCACAAATGAGCCGCAAACATTATTGTTCAAAATTTCCGATTTAGAAAGCAATTATTTGGTTGTTTGTGCGCTGGATGCTCTGCATCGTTGTACCATCCGCCATCAATTAGCTGGCATTCTATCTTTTTCCAGTATGATAGCTTGGCAGGAGACTTCAGATCTAGATCACCGAGTCGTGCCTCAATCTTTTCTTCATTGTGAGCTAAACGAACAAAGACAGTACAATCTCTTAAAGTCATGGCGGTTAGAAAATTTTTATCCGAGGGGTCTGCGTTCAGGACTCCTGCACGGTCAAACTGTATCTGAATCTCGCGAAGACGTCGTAAAAGTGAAACATTTTTGATCCATTCGACAAAGCGCAGTAAGCACACATTATCAGCTTTATGTGACAAGATTTGTTTAGCAAGGTGGTTTAGTGTGTTTGGATCTTCGGAAAAAAAGTCCAGAGGACAAAATATGTGAGAATCCGGAGGTTCGTTTGAAGCGACCAGCTCGGCATTTATATATGCGTTTCTAGCACATTGACGACAGCGAAGAGAATCCGAAGGCGCCGATAAGGATTGGACAAGCCATTTTGGCTTAAATTCAATAACAGTATTAAATTTGATGTTTGATGTCATGTTCGTAACAAGTAAGCCATAGTCCTCGTCGGCAAGATAGACGCCATGTCTAATCTTTGCTCGATGATTGTATAGATTGGGAGTTAACCGCTCACTTTCCAATAACTCTTTATTAAGGCGCTGGACGATACCGGAAGATTTAATTGATACGAGTGATTGCTGCACGAGCTCTGATGGGTGGAATAAAGGAGCAATAAACTGAAGCCAATTTGATTGGGATAAGCGAACAGGATTGGTAGTAGTGAGGTCCTTCCGTAATCGAAGCAATTTATCTAGATGTATTAGCCCTAGCTAAAATGATTTCACAAGCTGGTTAGCGAGAGTATGGGAAGAATATACTACAAAAAGCCAACTTTTCCCGAGATGCATCGGAAATTTCAATTACACCCGGAGTAAAGGGTCCTCTATGCCATTCATCTTTAGTACCCTGAAGCAAAGATTTTGGAATAATTATCCTGTAAACTATATTGGCAGCTCCCTCATTTAAATACTCAAGTTGAAAATTAGCTGGAAAGTTTTGGGATTCTGACATTGTAGGGACTGAGAGGGAACCCAACAGAGCTGCAATTAAGACTTGATGATATGGAGACGAAATAATAACATTGCTCTTCTAATTTCTGTATAAGGAACTGTCTGGTTTTGAAACCCGCTATGGTGATCTTGTTAACAAGCAAGGACGAGGGCTGATACTCCTACCGCTCTCCAAATAATTAGCAGTGATGACAAAGCTGTAGATGGCATTTTTTGTATATATTGGCTAGAAGGTGGGGTAAACACTTCTATACGTGTTTGGCCCCCCGTTGATCAATATAAACCACATGATTTTGTGGCTAGTATGTGGGGAAAACGTTTCCGAAATTTAGACGTACGTGCGAGATTGAACTGAAGATTTGCACAGCGAAACATGGGCAAACTCCCGGGTCTCGGAGTCACTATTTCCCTATTAGCCGCCAAATGTCTAGTCAAGTTTCTGAATAAAATCGCGGGTAACTGCCCCCGTAGCCTTGTATACCCCGGGCACGAGCTAGTCGAGTCAATTAAGCTAAAACTACAAGTCAGAATAAGATAACCGAGCTACAATCTTATCTTGAATACCAATAGGCCCGAGACATTCATTGTTAATTTGCCACTCTGGACCAATGCCGCAGACGAAGCTAAATTCGAAGGACTAGGATTGGTGTGTGCTCGCAGCGAGTCCAGGACTTAGCTATGAATCAAGAAAATAGAATGGTTCAAGTTGGATTAAGAGAAAGGAAAGACTATGCATAGTCAACAACCAGAAAACTATCGTGTGCGACTGCACGCGCAACCGTACACGCATTTTTACAAACCTCACACAGATTCTCGCATACCCTTGCCTACATCAAAGTTGCAGTACTACATTCTTTTTGAGGGTTTCTAGAAAAAGTAAAATCTGTAGTTATGAGCAATACTTCACGACGATTACTGGGACAAGACTATGTGCTACAGATTATTCCATATGAAACCCGTAGTGATTATTCTAGACCCTTACAGTGTACAGGTTTTGCTAGATCGTCGTGCTGTCCATTCCTCACCAACTCATGGTCACTTGCTAGAGTTATTCTAAGGTTAGCTGGGCTAGAGTAGCAAGGTGGAAGTATACTCGAGCGCCAGTGAGCCCACAAATATTGCTTGTCCTCAACGTAATTCTTTAATGACACCGTATGATCCCCACTGTCAGATGGACTTGTAGCATTACAGTGTGAGGAGCTCGGGCGCCTTTCGGGGATTCAAAGGTTGCAGGTGACAAAGCTGCTCTAGCGCCCCTCGCGTGTCAATCGAGGCTGTTACATGGTCCAGAAGATGTCAACTAGTCAGACATAGAATTCTCAGATTTATCCCTCAATCACTCTGGTTTGGTCGGACAGGTTGAGGCTAGTGTATGCAGCGTCGTGAGGGGTCTATTTTTATCTGGGGACTCCCTGTCTTCCACGCCGAATTGAGATTAATAGAGGTCCTTAAGACTTGAACAGTATGGGTCGGATGCAACTGTGACAAATAAGGGAAAATTAAGGGACTCCTACCCTGGACTGCAATTTAGTTTAAATGTGATAAATCACAACGATAAAATTTGTAATCTTGCTGTCTCAAGGTGATGGGATCCAGTCGTATGGTAATAATCACTGACACTTTTAAGTACGAAGATCTCGGTTAAAATAGACCGTTAAGTCTAAAGGCTCGTATCATTGCTAGATCGAGGGGCAATCGTTTGGTATGAACTTCCAGAACTGTTCGTTAGATGCAATTGGCACGAGTGGAACGAGGCTGAGTATACTCGGTTACTAACTGTACTAAGATGAGCCTCGCCACAGTTGGATAACCAGGTAGTCACAGAAGAGCGATAACTCAAAAACTGTCAGCTTTAACCCTTACAGACCTCCAAATCTCACTGCAGAACCGAGATTCAGTCGCATCATATCTCAAATAAGCTGGACTACCTCGCCCATCCCCAAAGATAATCCTCCCATTACACCTGTGACGATCGCAACCAGGATAATAGCACTGATAAAGAGGAAGGATATTGCAGCACTAAACGCTACAATGGTAGTCAGAGAATCCGTCGTCATATCCCAACATGTGCCATATACCGGCTGGTAGACTAATGCCAACAGAAAAAAGTTAATAGACCCATCCTCCCTGAAAAAAATCATATTTCGACTCGTCGACAATGTCGTCTTTCCTACGTCTAACTTCCGACATAACTATCCAGAAAGGCACTCTAACTATGCGAGATAATCGATAACCTCATATTCGTAGCAACTTTTGTTCTGTTTTTGGTGTACTACTTAGGGTACAACTATGTGGCACATTTGGCTCCTCACACCATATCACGCCTTATACACTGTTTCTATTCTCTTTTGTTACAGAAAATATCTATCATATGATGTCTATGGTGAATGTTCATTTAGCTCAATGTTTACCCATAGAATACAGCCAAATTTTCAACGGAACCTTAAACCCAAAAAAAATAAATGCGGTAGTTATGCAGATTGCGTGCGCTGGAGAAATTCTCAAAAAACCTGTATCTCAAGCCAGGTGAGGCCTAGACATCGGAGCCAATTGAGGTGCGTATATCTATCTATAGCTCTCTTCTTTGCAGTATTGGAGGTCAACTTGATCAAACCTACTACCTCCGTATTGGGTGCTGGTTGCGCTCAAAAAACTCATCAGATAGCTTTTAATCAATGAACAAGGAAAAAAAGTGATTAGATGATTAGTACGGTTTTGAAACTACTTTCTGGAGGACAAAGACTGAACACCTGTACGCATTCTCCTCTACGAACCTTGGAGTGAAATATTCTCTCAGATCCAAATTCAGTCAGATTTCGAAATACGATAGAAGTTGGCCCACGAGGCAATGATTCAAGACATCCTGTCTGCAAAACTAGCTATGATAACGGTTGCCGGCAAAGACGAATTCTCCACCTTATAGTGGTGCCGGTGTAATCGCTCGGTGTGCTCTGCATATCTGGGATAGCCAAGAAGAATTGTATCCGAATCGAAGTCGAAAGCAATCTTAAGCACATCTCCATTTGACGACTTCTCGGCAATGCCTCTCATACCATACTCATCTGAGTCCTCAACCTCTCTCTAAACGCGCGTCATCTCGCCTCGACGACCAATAAAGAAGTTGCTCAAATTGCATATAGGAGCTAGCCCTATTAATTTACAGCCATCCCTCACTTTATATTTATGATGCTATTTATACCCGCAAGGAGGAAATCAAGTCGAAAAATAAAAAGCCTGGGTCTTGACTTATGGGGGACTGTTGCTCTAATGGGACAAGCAACTTGAGGGCGAACATGTCTCTAAAGACTTTGCTGAGACTGACATTTTCGAGGAATTTTCAACTTTGGATTTTTTGTGGGCGCCTAGACTGGGATTTCGGCTAATTATCCAGGAGAACTTCAATTGTTGATGAATCAACGGCTCTCCTTAGCGCCCTGGACGGCACAAAAGAGGTTGGGCTAAGCTACTATTCTGCAATCACACTCTGTTAAGACATTTCTGACATTTCAGCACGACCTTCGGGAAGGAGTTGGAAGGAGGCTAGAAAGGCAGAGGGCGAATTTTCCGAGGTACCCACAAGTCTGCAACGCCCAGCTAGCCGGCCTCTTTGGACGCTTTAGAAGGATCACTTTATCTTCGGGTTTAGCCCTAATGTCGGTATTAGGAAAGCTCCACACCCAGTGGCTTTTTCGATTTTTCCCGGCTGCCATACACCTCCAAACGGTCATCGTTTCGTTGGCTGGAGAGGGGAGATAATGAATGGCAAAGGGCACCTCTAAGTGTATGATCGATTGAGGGCTTGTGAGGGGTGGTAATGTTTGAGGGGAGCTGTATGGGAGGGATAGGAGGGGATATACTACTGGCATAGTATCCTTGGCCTGTAGGCAGAGGACCTGCATGTCCTACATAGTCATAGACTCAGACAGGACAATAAAATGAATTAATAGTAATTTATTTTGAAACAGCGCCCTGGCCGACCAGCATCAGCCGATCCAGAACATTGGAAAGCGGCAAATATATATACTGATGAACAAACAGGCAGCGCCAAAACGAACTTCAAAGATACACCCTTAAGAATCCACCGTAACCTAACCAGGGCCCAAAGCAGTTTCGCCATTCAGCTAAGGAGCGAGCATATCGGACTCAATTCTTACCTGAGCAGAAAAAAAGTACCCGGAGTAGAAAAGTCAAGCTGTCAATGTGGATATCCGTCGCAAAACGTCAAGCATATGGTGTTGGCGTGTCCGCAGTGGGCAAATGGAAGAGGCGACTTTCTCCGACAAGCTAAAGACAGGTCATTTGAAGCAGTGATGAACAGCCCTGAAGACATGGCCAGAATTACACAGTGGCTACTAAACAAAGGGTGGATAAAACAGTTTCGCCTCGCAAGGGAAGTTGTGGTGACAAATAAACTATCTCTGAGAGGGGAGCATGGGAGGATATCAGTGCGACCTTAGTAAGCGAGGCTACTTCGTCAGCCTTGTAGTATCTACTAAAAATCAGTAGTTAGACTTAGACAGATAGTGAGATATACACTCTTACCTGAATACTCAGTCATGTTTACTGAACCCTGTGAAACCTACAGAAGTCGAGGTAGCAATGTCGGATAAAGTAAATAGATATGGATGGGGAGAGGACGGAATTCACACGTGCTGAACAGTGTACACTGCACTTCCTTAAGGTAAACCAAATAAATTGATAGGAACATAAAAAGACAGGAATTAGGGGGCTTTCACCAAATTGGTTTCCTCCTTTGTAAATAATGCAGATAGTCACCTGCATGGACCCATAGGGTGCCTGATCGGGTTAATTGAAATCAATTTCAAAATTCAAATATGATAACGGCTGCATCTGTAGTAACCTCACGTAGGCGGTGTAACTAGACATAACATACTTGGCTAGCGTAGGACAGCAGAACTTCAGTTGCAGAAGATGTCTTCTTTGGTTTTTTATTTTTCAATTATTAAGTAGTCTTCTTTAGTTATAAGAGATAGACGGGAT